TTGTTGTTGTTGTTGTTGTTGTTGTTGTTGTTGTTGTTGTTGTTGTTTCTTTTTAAAACCCTACGTCTGGTGGACGACAACCAGCAACGTCAGCAATGTTGCCGACTTTTAGTGAAAGAGAGTGAAACCGTACATCCCAGAACAGGTTTCATTTTGGCTACTCAGGTAGGGGCACGTTGAGAATCTTCAAGCAGCGATCTCACAGTTCTCCCGGTCGTCGATAGCAGCAGATGTTCAATTTGCAAGTCACTTGAAAACACCGGCCCTTCTGCGCCGTAACAGCGGGCTCTGTCGGTGTCAACACCTGTCGGTCAGGTGTTGTGCATTCTTTCGAAGGGGCTTTGCATCATCAACACGCAGCTCCAGCGGAAAGGCGGAGTCCGCTCCACACGGTCGAAAACGGTCGACCGGTCACTCACCTGGGTCGGTTGACCGGTCCGTGCTGTTCATTTTTGTTTAGGGACGGAGACACTCTGATAGTAGGTTTTGAGGGTCCAGCCGTACCGTACCTGAGAAGGTACGGCTGGTTTTTTAGGGTTTCTTTGGTCAAATTAGCTTGCATGTTGGGGTGGCTTCGCCCGTCACCAGTGGATGTGAGAACTCGGGCAGCCCGACTTGCTCCGTTCGGAACCGGCACCCAACTTCATGGAACTACTAACTATAGTTGCAACTCTTGGAACTCCTGGGTGTCCAAGGGCAGAGTGCAGAAAGCCTTGCGCCACGTTTGCTAGCCTTTCAGGTCCCTGAAAGCCCCTCAACCTCCCTGAAAACTGACCTGGCAAAGGCCACCTAAGGTGTCACTCTCCGTGTGAGTGCACTGGAACCATGGGCCCCACCCCACTCCAAGTCACTCACGGCCCGTGGAGTTCGTTCCCCATGCACCCAGGCGACGTGTGGGGCGAGGACCGTTCCGCGCAGCAGAGGGGCGCTACCAGCAGCCCTGCGGATGGTCCACACCTGAGCTCATCCCCCTTCTTACTGCGATGCATCACATAGGCACCAGACAATACCCAAAGACATCCAAAGACTCTACAGATCTCGAGACCATAGTCTTTTCAAGGGTTGCTCCAGGTGGTGGTCTCTTCTATGTTTAAACATGCTTAACCATCCACAACTCATCGGGCCGGGGGGGTGCCCCTCTTGAATTACATTCCATTTTTTGGTAGCTTCAACCACTTTTGCCTGGGGCTGCCTCCTCTTGAATCGCCTCCGCCACCGCGATGCGCCTCACCCGCCCACCGGCTCACCGCGCCGCAGGACTTCGTGCTGTCCGACCGAAGCTTGGTGCGTTCGAAGCGGTGCCACGCCATGACGTACATCGAGGTCCTGCCGCCCGGTGCCAATGCCGTCGCGAACGCGTCAGCGGCGCTCCCTCCGGAGGGACGGTGACGGTCGGGGGTCGTTCTGCCATGTTCTGCCCATGTCGGAGACAAGGGGACCGGGAGGGCGGGACACTGGGCAGGACTCGGGGACTTCTCAAATTAGGGGAAACATCTATGAGACAACATCCATTCTAAAGCCTCTTGTGACGTACTATAGACATCTATAGACCCCGAATGATCCAAGACTTGTACTTGGACTGATAAAACCCTAGGGCTCCTGGCCCACCTCCTGAGGTTCGGTGGGCCAGGGGTGGGTTTTGGGGGTCTAACCACCTGAGGATATGGGCCAGGAGCCCTAGGGAAAACCATTCCTTCACCCCCCCCCTGGGGTTGGACTCTTCAGGGCCTCCGTTGTGACCTAGGAACTTGAGCCGGAAAGCCTTGATGGAGATCATCGACGACAAGAGGCCGGGACCGAGAGTTGGCGGCCACATGGGGAATCATCGACGCCTTTTTGGGTCCCAGGACCATCCGTTGCTCGGATGTCCTACACGACGGGGGGTCACAACGACCATCCGAAGTACGGAGGTACCTGGACCCGATGGAGCTCTGGATACACTAGAAGTCTTGTTTTGAGCCTTCGTGGCTTCGGACCGTTTCGGAAGCTCTTCGGGGTTCGGATTTGCAGCAGGAAACAGTGGTCCATGGAGCCTAAAGGGCGTGTCCCATGACCTGCAATCGTCGGTCAAAACGTTGATTTTAGAGAAACACCTTCGCTAACGATCGTCATTCACTGTTACTGGCATATACCCAATGGGATCCTCCTGACATTATCACATTTGCGTCTACATTGTCTACATCATCTATTCAGCGCCCCCGGCGAGAAGCGCAAGCAAATCAATCAAAACACGGTTCCATTCAGCAAAGCCAAGCATCCTATCCAAGCATCCCATAGCACTGTTTGCGTGGAACACCACCTGCACATGGAAAATCCCCTAGTAGCGTCCTTGCTCCTAGTAGCGATGCCCTTGCTCCTAGTAGCTTCTTGCTCATAGTAGTATGGCCAGGAGCCCCGAGTAGCGTCCGATCGCTCCTAGGTTCATTTGCCCAAAGTTTGGCGAGATTATTCACGCCTTCCGGCGACGATTGGCGGCGCAGCGCGTGGCTTGGAGATAAGTGGGGGGTTGGTCCATGTTGGTCCATGGTGGATGGCATGGCTTTTTCGTGGTGAGAGTGGGTGGCATGGTGGATGAGGGCTCCACAATACCATGTAACTATATACATCTTACCTGGACCCTCCAACAGTGCAACAATCGTTTGTTATTTCCTTGAAATCGTCGTTTTCGTCGATCAAAACCTGCTATACGCAGAAACCGTTCTTTCAGCAGCAAAGCGCCCTGGCGTGCGCGAATTGCCCCGCGCGCGCGCATCCGACCTGGGCTACCCTCCACGGCCAACAGAGACGATACCCTATACCCATACACTCCATGTATGCCATATATATGCCTACATTGACCGGAGAGGTGAGCCAATTAGGGTGAGGGCTCCTCCGGGCGGGTTTCGACCCACATCCAGGGAGCACGTTGGACTCTTTTTCGCTGTGCTGAAAGGCGAACACACTCAGTTGAGGGTCTAACTGGTGCTCAACTTGCAGGGCCAAGTCTTCAACCTGGTCTTTGTAGTCTTAGTCTGGAGTCGAAGGTTGACTACCACTCTGACACATCATGGAAGTTGAAAGCCCGATTCTGAGGGGACATTGTCTTCTCCAGGTGTCACAACGTTTCCTTTTGTTCCACTTCCAGGTGTGGTCGAAGTTCATTTGACCCTCATCTTCCACAGATCCCAGACACTCCATGGGACTGCCATATATGCCGATCAGTTGGGGTGGTGCCAGAGGGGTCAATTGATCGGCAGTCCTATGGCAGTCCCATTAGTCGTGTCTGGGGATGTTTTAATTTTTGGAGCCCTAGGGAAGAACAACTGTCTCCCCGAGAGAACCTGAGACGCGAATTGACCTGGAAACCTCCCCCGCTCCTTCTGGGATCGATTCGCGAATTGATGGTCGCTGGTTCCAACATCGTGAGTCGATCTGTATAGTATGGCCATGCGTTTGGTGTTTGTATGGCCAGTCGATCTGCCATGTCTCCTAGCAGTTCCAAAGGAAGGGCTCTTAGTCCGTGATGGGCACTTCAGTCCCCTGCAATTTCTGGCAGGGAGACCCCGACATGGACCAAGAGAGGTTAAGTGACCGTAAATAGGACTTGCAACCTGGGGTGGGATAGTCAGGTTCTTCAACCTCCGTTAGGAACTCAACCAAGTTTGTTTCGGTCACCTGTCGGACGAGACGAGTGTTGGGGCTTTTGGGGGGATTGGGATGTCCGCCACTCAACAAGAAGATGTCGGGTTCGCCACTCAAGTTTGACGCGGAAGATGTATGACATCATACTGATCACATAGAAAGCAGACTCGATACAGGTTCACCTCGATGCCGCTCCAAGATGTGCTCCCGCCCCGGGATTCTTGGCCCCGCCCTGGATGTCATAGTAATGTTACACAACAAAGCCAGTCCAACTGTTAAACTTAAATCGTTTTCAAAGGCTAGGGCCAATCTGACTCCTCAAGAAGCCCAACCTCACCATCCGAAGTTCCCAAGCCATCGCCCAAAGGAGCAGCCTCGCTCCCGCGTCCGCTCCGTTCCAAGAAGGCGGTCCTCCTTCTTCCCCCGTCGTGCTGGAACTCCATCTACTCCGCCGCTGAGAACGGTCACAGAAAAAAAATGGAGCCGCGGTCCATCTACTCCGCCGAGCCCGAACGACCAGCAACTCCAAGCGCCATCCTCAAAAAGCGCGCTCTCTCTCTCTCTCTCCCTGCCAGGCCATCCTCTTGGAGGCCAAGCGCCGAAGGAAGAACGAGTCGCCACGAGGCCACACGGTGCAGCCGCTGTGAGGCGGCGGTGGGGGCGGGACGACGCCGGCGGTTCGCAGTGGCACCGCGGGGGCCGGAGGTAACAGGTTTGGAAGACGGGGCCGATGTTGTACACGTACTATTAACTATACCGTATATGTTGACATCCTTGCAAACTATAGTAAACGTATGTTAGAACGACGTAGTATGATTCTATATGATGTATTATGTAATTTTATATGTTATAGTTTAGTACCTTCATGCATTGTTGTCATTGTTCAATAGTAAACATCTTTTTGGCTTTTGTGTGTGTGTGTGTGTTGTGTGTGTGTGTGTGTGTCGATTTGACGTTTGGTGGGGTTTGTTGGCCGGACATGAAACACCAGACCAGACTCCAAGCGCAAAAGTTTCACTTCACATGGCAGTGGCAAGTAGACGCAAGGCCGCAGCGGCTTGAGAACGAATCCGAAGAGAACACGATCCACCGAAGGGGGTGTCCAGTTTGGACGACCTAGCAGCACTATACTTTCTTCTTGCTGTGCATGAGACACCCCATGCATGGTGCAGGTACATGCATTTGAAGGGATTTAGGGATGTTCTGCAGGTACACGCATGGGACACCCACACCGGGATTCGGTTGGATTTTCCATGATTTTCCTCACCAGAAGCCATGCCAGGCGCAGCAAAGCGGATTCTCATACCCAATACCTGAAGACCTGTCGTGCAGCTGATTCTCACGCATGAGGGGGTATGAGGATGTGATGCTTCAAGGGCCAACGAGCCCTCCAAGACTTGATGTTGTTCTGTTTCACGCCGGAGATCCATTTTCACAGAACCGGCTGGGGAGTCGGTGGTGGTCGGTCGAGCCACCTGGTTTCGGAGAGCCGCCTGCTTGCGCATCACTGCTAGAAATTGCTAGGAAGCTCCCTGGTTGAGTAGAAGTTGGTTGAAGTGTAGGTTGAAGTGTATATTATATGTGAAAATGAAAGCACCGTAAACTGTAAACAAGGCAGTACCATACACGGCATAGACGTTCAGAGTTGAGGTCCAGCTTTTGTGTAGACCTCTTGGGCACATTTGGTTTGGCGCATTCGGAAGTTCACGTGTCTCCCCACCCAGACCTCATAGACGTGGAAGACAGGAACCATGATTACCAGTCTTATATATACGTAAGGCCCAAGCCGCCTAGTATAGCTGCGATGTTGGGATCCTGTCACCCATTTCGATCCAATCCACCCTCAGTGAAAGAAGCCCAAAGGGCTCGAATCACTGTGAAAGCATCGGCCCAGCTCGCTGCCGAAGTGTCGCGAGCTCCGGCCGAGCTGCTCCTAGCTGCAGCTTCTCGAGAGCCGGGCGACCGGTTCAGAGGTGGCCCAAAAAACCATCGATTGATGAATTGGGGTCCCTCATTCTATTCCTTGAACCGGTCTGTTTCACCGCCCCAAAAGTCGACGTTCATTTCATGCTCCAAACAGGTGCCCGTTCTAGATGCAGTCACAAGCGAACGGATTTGCTTACGGAAGCGGGCGAAAAAGAACCACAGATCCCCAGGTTAGTGGATCCATATACCTTCTCAATCTTCTCAGAAGGTCATTCAACCCGGCAAGCCTATACGTCTCCAGTCACCGTATACCTCAGGTTCGGTCTGTGGATCCTGAGGCCAGGTTAGTGGATGGACCCAGGGAACGGGAAAACAACACCTTCGATGAGCTGATCACCAGGCAAGGAACCTAAAGCTTTTGATCGCCCCCACAGAGGTCGGACGAAGGAACCGAAGTCTTCGAGCGATTCTTGGGGCGGGGTGACTTGGGTCCACGATTCAGGAGAGTGGGGGTTTGGCCCCAGGAGTCAGTGAGTATCCACTAGCCTTGGAAGTCAAGGCTAGGAGTCACCATACGGACGAGTTGTGAGGTTTTTTGGGGGGTTGGCTGTTTGGGAGGGTTCTTTCTTCGGCCTACGGCCTACCCCCAGGAGTCAGAAACGGTGTTGAGTCGCATCTGAGTGGATATGCTCGGCACCCCTTCGTCCTGGATCCAAGTTGGGCCAATTGCTTTTCGTCTACCAAGCGCAGAATGCTGAGTCGGTGGATCAAAGACATATCGAGATGCTGCAGCATCGGCGGTGACCATGTCGACCCAGAAAAGCGGCGCGCAACAGCTGAAAATCACCTCGCGAGTTTGTTCAGCAGAGCGCACACATAAATATACATAATATACCTGGCTGGGGCCCCACATACCATGAAAGACTTTGGTTTTCCCAGAGCAAGACATTGCTTTTACCCAGACATGACCTCCATGTTGATAGAAACGACAATCTTTTGGTTGGTTGATGGTCCAAAATAGTGGTCAGGTTCTGCAGGATATATTTTTCCAATTACATGTATACGACATATGGGTGTGGTCCTAAAGAAGCCCAAATCGAAGAAGCCACGCCCGACCCCCTGGCACCCCGCAGGCGTGGTGTCCATGTGTCCTTTGACCAGTGGCATGGCATCCCCAAGCTATCCCAGACACTCCATGTGTGCCATATATGCCTACATTGGGGTGGTTTTTGGGGTCAATGTAGGCATATATGGCAGTCCCATGGAGTGTCTGGGTATAGCACCCGACTCGAAAAGGGTCACCGAAATGGGAAACATGGAGACGACCCAAGTCGTGATTGAAGTTGCTCAAACAGTAAACGAGTGTTGGGTGTGTTGAGCTGCGCTTCGATCATACCGCACCGCCAAGATCCTACCGCACCATCAGCTCGTGTTTCATCCACCCGGACGGTGAACCTGATCCGATCCTCGTCCGAAGACGAAACCTCTTCAGCCCCTGGTGGACTCCGAGACGTAGCGGATGGGGGGAATGGATCCGAAGGTCGCCCAGACACGAGCTGTTTGAGACTGCCATAGGACTGCCGCGCCCCATTGACCCCCAAAAACCACCCCTGGCCTGATCGGCAGTCCTATGGCAGTCCCATGGGTTGTGTCTGGGTCATGGAGGCTCTTTCCTTCATTCCTTGCGCCTCGTCGCACGTGTCGTCCGTTCTCCGTGGGTGATGTCATGTCCAGGAGCCCGCCGATCGCAGGCGCCACCCGGGGAGGAGTCCTGAAACGGAGTGATCCACTTCGATCGACCTGTGTGTGATCCCAAAGTCTCGACATGTGTGTGAGGTGACTCAGAGGTGACTCCCTCTCGAATAGGAATTTCTATGGGAATTTCTTTTTCTTCAGCAGTAAAGGTTAGGAGATGTTAGGAGCCTGTTACCTTGGCGAAAGTCCTTGTCCAGGTGGCGAAAGAACAGGCCAGTCCCCCCCCAAAAATCTTTGGACTTCTAGTGACAACCGTCGCGATGGTGACTATCTTCATGTTAGTTCAAGTTCCTGGGCACTCGAGAAGCAACATGTAGAACTAACACAAAGATAGATCTAAGATAGAACTACTGTAAACAAAACATGCACTGGATTGACTAAAATCATATCCGCACTTTGGCCACTTGGATTGGGGATCATTGGGGCTGTTGCAGTTGCATAATGTTGTCAAATGCATGGAAATAGCCGATAAACCATCCTTTTCGGACACCTGGAGAGCAAACTCTGCATCAGTGGACTTGTTCAGCGAACGTGTGATGTCTTAACTGAAACCCATTTGGGCTCCAGTCGTACCTCAGGTTCGGTATGACTGGTCCCACCCGCGCCCCGGTCGTCGAGACCCGAACTGGTGGACGGTGTCGGCTTCAGTGTCCACTCCACTTCCATGTGAACCAGAGGGTGGAACATGCAGAAGGCACAAGCAATTGTTGCAATTACGTAGTGATGTTTCATCCAGATGTTCTACATGTTAGTGATAGGCACCCCACATGTCTCCTTTCGCAGCTGCGTGGCGAAACTCGAAACGTCACAAGATCCGGTGGAGTGTCGGGTGAGAGACTTTCAGGCCCCAGAATCAGCCCGCGGCGCACCGAATCCGCAGTGCATCGGCGAGAGTCTGGCGTCGAAAAGGTCTAGAAACCCTATGGATCCAGGAGCCACCCTCTTTATGATTGGACGCTGTTTTTAAGGTTTTAAGTCAACATTTGGAGGGTCCAGTCGTACCTTCTGAGAAGGGTCCTGTGGATCCTTGGGGAGCTGTTTGGATGTGGACTATACTCTGACTGGCGACAAACACATCCCGAAAATAGCTCAGATGAGCTGGGTTTGGAAGTGCGACCAGCCACTGAAGGCATCCAGCATCAATCAACTACACTCTGACTCACAAGAATGGAAGTGGATGGCATGGCTCCTTGCAAGACTACTTTCCTTTACTAACAGTGGGCGTTCCATGTTTTTCCACTTCCAGGTGATGTCTTCGTCGGAGTGGTCGACCTTCCAGTTCCCCACGGCTGCCCACGTGTCGTTGAGACTCTCAGCTCTTCGTTCCACCCCTGTTTTGGAGGGGTCAGTTGGTAGGAAGGAAGCAAGG